CATAAAGGTTTACTTCTTCAAAGATCACCCTAAAGAACATTTCCAAAGCTTAAACCAGCACCATACACAGAATATATTTCATCAACATGCATACTGCCATCCTCAGCTGTAAAGCAAGAAGGTCAAGTTTAAGTTCTGTTAACAATGATCAGATATGGCGGAGACTTCACCATAAAAAAAAAATAAAAATGACACCAAGCCTGTTTTCTCCACAATAAATCCTAAAAATTGAACAACAACCAGTGTGGTGAACAAAACATTTATCCCATTTCTCCCTGCCTAACTTCTTCCCAGAAGGAGAATACAAGCTTATTTGTGGACTGCTGTATTAGAAAATGTGCATCACCCTGCCAGTATCACATTCTTTTATGCATGTTGGCCTGAGCTGAGAGTTGTACACATAGTACTCAAATGGCTCTGTACTGACCCCATGATATCAGCTGCATCATTTGCTTCTGTAGCAGCTCCTCAGCATCCATATAAAGTAATATAAATATATATAAAATTACAGTTTCCACAGTAGAGCCAGGCTACAGGTGGCAAGGCAAGACCCACACAGTAACAGAGCAGTCAGTTTTGGTGGTGGATAGAACACCTACATGCAGCATATGGGAGAAAGAAGTTTCCTTTGCCATTGAAGTAAGCAAAAAGAAAGAAAAGACACAAGCTTTATCTCTGAGTCAATCAGTGTGATCAACCTGGAAGGAGGAAAGTGAAGGACAAACCACGAACAGCACTGCTGGGCAAGACAGACTGTAACACTTCTAAAGTAGCCATTGTGTTATCACTGAGCCAGAAAAGGGATGAGAAGCATTCTCCCCCAGAAAACCCACACAAAGTGCAGAAATCCAACTAAGCTTTCCTGTGAATGGTCCAACCACAGTCTTCAGTGGCAGACCATAAGAGTAACAGTCATTATCCTAACTCTACTTTCAAAGATGTAGGTAGAATTTTCTTTTTTCCTCCCTACTGCATGACACTGCTCTCAGTTCAAGACTGAAGACAACCTTGGACCCAGGACACCTTTGGATAGAAGGAAGAAGTTTAAGGACTAAGAGATGCAGCCTGTTTCCTCACTGACAAAGGCTTTAAATATCTGCAAGGGGTTTCAAACTTCTAAGATTCCAGATACAGAGAGAATGAGACAAAACTGTTTCCAAAATAGCTTTATCATCAGAAAAGCAGTAAAACTTAATCCAAAATAACCCCCGAGTATTTCTCAGCATCGAAAACATTATGGGGCACGTTACCAATGAATAACAACTATGAAACAGAACACAGAATTGCAAAAATAAGTCTATGGCTTCAAGTTCACTTTTTTTGTGATTTGTTTTAGAAGTGCTCTCCCTTCTCAAGATTTCTCAAGAGTTATTTTTCAGTTCTTTCCACGCTTTATTTCACTACTGTTCACCACAGGCACCCAAACTGGGGAAGGAAAAGAGGTGGGTAACAAATACAAAAACCCAAAAACACATATGAATCAAATTGAAAGGCCTCTCCCCTTTATTATATCCAAGAGTGTCCAGAAGGACCAGCATGAGAGAGATGAAGATATTACCACCTCTGGAATACAAGTAGCACCAATTAACACATTTTCACAATAGAGGGATTTTCTTAATAGTTCTTTCTCAAATTACTCCTTCTGAACAATACTATTCAAATGTTAAACTGTAGTGAAGAGAGTATGTAAAACTACCCCAACTAGTGTTTCCAACCAGAAAGGGAAAAGAATTCCCATTATACACTCATGCCTTTTTTTTTTTTTAATTAGGCCTACAGCATGAGCCTTGTTTTTTCATGTAATCATCTTCATGGATTTGCCCCTGCTATTTCAAGTTTAGCAATACATAAGCAATAATCATGGCAAGTCAGTTTACCCTTTTTACATAGGTTTTAGGTCCAAATTACTTGAGAGATGCTCCTCCGGGCTCCTTCTGTGTTTGCTACCTGCCAATGTGATGTGGCTGCTGGTAAGCAGGCATGAAACACATGTTCATGTTACCACATGTTCTAGTTCCCAGATTAAAATAATCTATAATAGGTCTCCTTAAAAGACCAAGAAAGCAGAATTTCAGAAAACAAGACAGAATAAATGTGCAGGAATCAGGTTTTCAACTATCCCAGGAAAAACACTTTCCCAAAGAGGTACAAAACCAGGTGGCAGAGTGTGGAGGAAACAGATACTTAGGGCTGAAGAGCCATCCCAGATGGGATGCAGATAGTAATTTATGGAGAAAAGGAAATAGGCTATGCTAACAAAATGCTGTTCTTAGTCCTTTATACTTATTGTGAACCAACACAGACAGCTGAGCTGCACTCTTCCAGTACCCATTACATTCCAGTACCAAAGAACAGCAGGCAAATATGTAATAAATATGCTTAGAGAGTTTCATTGTTTTAATACATACTGTAACTGATTATTTCTTCCCTGTCTCCCCTTAGGGCTTCAGTTTACATCAATAATGGCTCGAAACAATTCCTTTCCTTTAATTATTGCAGTAGGAAATGATAAAAAGAAGCTGAGCAGAGTCAACTTCACTCTAACACAGACATGAGATACGAACATTGTACAAAGAACATTATCCAAGGATAGGTAAAACCTTAGTTAAAAATCCAAATGCAGTCAACATCAGTAATTTTATTCAATACTGTCAAAGGACAATTCATATTCAGCAATAGCTTCTTCCACCATACCTGTTTTCCAAGATACTAGACTTAAAAAGAAAAAAAAAGGGTCACTGGAGTATCATGTACAGATTTATTCCTTGCTATTGCAGTCAGAAAGTTCTGACATTTAAGATTACTTGAGAATAAAGCTGTCTCCATTTGCAATTTGAAATGAGAAAGTACATCCTGCCTGTTTAAATTATTCTCAGACAGGTTGCCCAAAAAGATGATTTTAAAGATGCCCAAATGTTTATCAGCCTAAGGATGTATTGTACTTGCTTTCAGTTTCAAAGACCTCCTTTCATCTCTGAAGAATGGAATGTTGTTTATTGCTCAGTATGTTTTGCCATGTTATCATGAATGTATTACAAATATTCTGCTTCTTGAACTAGAGAGTTTGTCAAAACCATTCTTTATTCTACATGAGAAGTCTTAAGCCTTTTATAAATCCTGCTCAGATATATTGGGACACTTAAATGTCTAAGTCTAAACATCTTTGTCAAGTTTACTATCCTGCATATTTAATGAAAAGGAAAAAAGGTCTGCAGAGAATTGCTTTCTGGTAGCATGAAGCCTAAGTACTAGGCAAAGGAATGCAAGATTGCATGTGAGAAACGAAAGTAGTTTCACAGCCAGAATTACTTTCACCTACTGCCCTCACAACTCAGTCTAGCAAGGCCATCTATATGAGAAGCATCTTAAAATACAGGAGGTAAAATTGTGAAAATTATATACCATCAAGGTTCATAGTCAGTTTTAGGCACATTATATCCTGGTTCTTTAAAAATGGCCATGTAAGTCACGGATCACCACATTACAACAGCACCACTTATCTGTCTCACTTTGCCACAATCGCATTAAGATTTTAATAAAGTAGACACCGCAGACGATGAGAAATAACTGAAAAGCACCTAACAGGCAGACTTGCTAAATATTCAGAAACAAATTCAGGAATAATTACAGAAAACCACTATGAAGAACAGGAGTTACTTGATAGAAGCTTGGGGGAACAGGAGAAAAGGCTGGGGAAAACTGCTAGTGTTAGACTAATTTTTTTCAAGTTTTTCCAGTGGTATTTAAAAAACCCATAACTATACCTTCAACTTCATGTGAAAGTGCATTAAAAAACTTCAAGGTAGTGAAAAGCAGCTGCTCTAAAGCTGGGAATGCTGCTTTCTGCAGCTTGTTTAGATACAGATTCCTTCACTTTTGGTAAATAGGGAGAGTTCAATGAGCTATGTCAGCACAAAATCAGACAAACAAGTCTACCTTTTCCTCCTTAGAGAGGTCTCTTGCCACAGTCCAAGATGAGGGAAAATCTACAGGACAGACTGTTGCAGTCAGACTGCAAATAGCTGAGCTTTATACAAAGTCCTCCCAGATTCCAGCATGCAAAAACACTGCAGTATTTTCAATCCTAGTATCTATTTAAGTTTCCTAGGCCACAAGAATAAAAAAGCCCTAAGGCTTATCAGAAAGCCCACTGCTTCCTCCACACAGGAGTTACTTTCCAGGCTTCTGCTGTCTAAGCTTGGGTCAGTGGCCAACCAGTTGCTCACTTGAGACATACCAAGACTTTATGAGAAAGAGGGGCCAAACTGGCAACAACACTTGAATGGCAGCCTGCAACATGTTTCTCCCACCAGCAGCCAAGATGATGATGTCTAACAGAAGTAGGCTGTCAGTCTCCTTGGAAAGAACTTCTACAGCCCTGTAAGCTTTCCAAGTCCCGGACACAGTTAACTTCTAGCACAACATTAAGAGATTTGTTCAGACCAAGATTTGCTAAAAGCACCTTCAATGCACTTTTAAAACACAGCATGAGCCAGAAAAGGTACCTGGCTCATTGCAGAACCTAAATGGTCTAGCTTTATTTATTGTTTTTTTGCAGGGATCTAGCCAAGGCAAACTACTCAGTCCCTACGCACTGCGCACGGAAAGAAGTCCACAGCCAAATGCCATAGCAAGAGCCACTTCAAAAGCCACCCAAAACATCCATCATGACTTCAACTGAAGGGCCATGACAGCCAGCTGCCACAGAAGACCATTACCCTCTACTGCAGATGCAAGTTTCCCTGAACCATTATTTCACTGAGTGCTTTACACACGGTGCTCTTATCCACAGTACCTCTACAGCACACAATTAAACATCCCCATCAAATTTACCAGAAACAATCCTTTCAAGTATCTAACACACAAACTAGTTTTCTTACAGTCTGTAAGCTGTCATTCAATGTACGAGAATTCTCACTTCTTCCTACAGGGAAAGATAAAAATAATTCAGTAAGAAGATACAGCACCACCATATAAATAATTGCCAGCCGTCTTCATACCTCTAACCCAGATCCAACGTTGGACAAATCCAGTGGTCTCTTCTTCCTTGGTCCAATGGCTGCCAAAGCTGTGAGGTTGGCTTCTCTTTGTTGCATTTGTGCTAACTCCAATTGTTGCATCTAATTTGAAAAGAAAACACCTAGATTAATTACAGAATACAGAATCCTAAAGGTCTTGGTTTTCTTTATGGGAGCTTCAGACAGTTCTGCAGTGCCTCCTGAAAAAACGTATTCTGTAGCATCTTTTCCTGTCTTTCTGGACACTTTTGACAGATTCCAACATTCAGTCTTGAAACACTAATGGCTCCTATAGATAGCACTATGTAAAAGTTAAGCTTTTTATGGAGAATGCATCGTAGTGTCAATGCAGCCTTAACAGGAGCCTGGCTCCCAGCTCCTCAGCTCATAAGCTTTGCCATTTCTGATTAAGAGAAAACACTGATCAGAACTGGCTTACGAGTTTGTTTTAGTATTCAAAGTTGAAGTTACTGAGTTCTGTGAATTGGGTGCATTCTTAATTCAAAATCTGAATTAATGATTGCACAAGCAAGACAGTCAAATTTCTTTATGCTGTAGTGCCTGAACCTAGCACTCAATATTGTCATTCTGAAACATCTTACTATCCAACTGGACAAAATGCTCTCAGTTCACTGATGTTCTTTCTTTTCCCAGTACATATTTGAATCTTCATGCAAATTTGAAGCAAGTGTATATATATACTGTATATATTTATTTTCACTCACCTCCAAAAACCATTCAACACAAAAAATCTTAGAAACAACCTCTACTTGTGTTAGGTAAACTTGAAAAGGGAGAGGAATTCATAGTCCAGAGGATTAAATAAAAAAATTATCTCTGCATTTTAAGGTATGCACTACTTCATTCAATTCAATAATAGATGACAGCTGTTGTGGAGCTCAAACCCACCCAAGTCTGCTGATTGATTAGCTTGGATTGGCCACCTTGCCAAAGCAATCATGCCACTTGCAGACCCACCAGCTGTCCAACTTGGAGCATGGGTGCAGGAGAGCACTCCCTCCCTCTCCCAGTACAGAAGGAAGCTTTTCTATTTATTCAAGTTGAGTTTGTCCTCTGGGTTTCATATTAACCCTTAGATGATCAAACATGCAACTAGAACAGCTTCTTAGCCCTTGCCTTCTCCACTCCCAGGACTTCCAAAATTGTTTGGATGAGAACTCCCTGCATGCCTATGTGCACGTATCTTTAAATAAAAGTACAGCCATGTCACGGTAGGAAAGCATCCAATTCTCCTCCCTTCCTCCCCTCCACACTCATAAAAACAATTAATTAATTAGAATTCCTCACCCAGTCAGTACAGATATTTTGCTTACTAAACTTGTAATACACTATAGTTTCACTTGCTTTTCAGCTCTCAGAGATCCCACTTGGACAAGAGAAATTGAGCTGTTAAGAACTGAGCTTGTAGCATCTACATAGCAGTATTCCCCCACTTGCTACTACTTATACAAAGAAGAATCAAAAATAGACTAATACTGCGGGGTTTTGCAGGGACGGGGGGGAGGGTGTTTTGAGGAGGAGGGCTGTTTGGTTGGGTAGTTTTATTCAAGTCCTATTATGCTTCAGATAGGCAGACTCATTCTTATGTTAGCAATACTGGCAGCTTCACATCACGTATTGCAGCAGCTAGACTACTTAAAGACAAACTATTTCAGTGCAAGATTCCCAAAAGGACATCCTGCCCTGTAAGATGCAAACTATAATATGCTCAAGATTTTTCAGCAGAAATCAAGGAATGCAAGACTTTGACATACATATGTTGAAAGTACCTGTTTTGGGGGGTTTGATGTGGTTGATTGGGTTTTTTTTGAAGGTGAGACAAATGCTTCAGTTATTAAAACAACACTATTTGCAAGTCAGCTTTGATCACATTATGTAGGCTTTTGCTTACAGAAATGTAGTTGTACTTCTTCAATCCTAAATAGCATAATTCTCTTACCACACATACTAGTCTTTCTTTTGTCTGCAACATACACACTCATAGCCTTATTTATCAGAATTCATTAAGTTCTGAATGGAAATTTGGTTTAGAGAGATTTTAAGATTTTATGTCCTTTAAGCTTGAAAATTACTAGTGTGCTGCAATTGTCTGAACTTACCTTCAGCTGGCCTACTTGCATAAAATGTTTAAGATAAACTTCTCTTTAATCTGAGTCTTAAATGTGTATACTTATACTCAGGAACACATCGCAGCCGATCAGGGAGGGGGAGAAATAAGACTAAATCTGAAAAATTAACTTTGAAGTTCACAAACTCTGTGAAACATTGACACTATTTTTATGTGACATCTTCATCACTTCTGAGAATAATCAGAAGCAAATAAACGCTGAGGTTCTTTGGTGGAGGCACATGCTGACTACAGTCCCAGCTGCCCAGGCCTCCAACACCTGGAGCAACTCCTACATATAAACAGCCATAGAGCATCCCTGTAGCTGCACACCTTCCTGCTAGCAATGCAGTTCTGTTGTCACAGTGGTTGCATGTGCACCAAAGTCTCCTTGTGGCAAGATGGGACTACAACAGGCCAAGCACGTGGCATCCTTCTGGGGGCCAAAAGGCTCCAGTGGCAAAGAAAACCAGAAGGGGAAATATTATTTGCTTTACTTTTCAGAATCATTACATTTAAAATGAAAAGGACTTTTACAACCATTAAACTTAAAAAACAAAACCAAACTAAATGCCTTTACTAGCCTAATTTTATGCTTCCATCCCTGGAACCTGTAAGTAAACATAACCCTCCTCTCCCTTCATCTCCCTCAACCCTACAGAACACATATAAACCAGCTTCACTGCACTTAGATGTGTCAAAAATGGGTGGTTGCTAAACATTTACTTAATCATTGGCTTGAAGCAGCATTGGAGTAAAACCCCATCTCCTTTTTACAGCTGATATAGATGGACAGCCATGGTAAAGACCAAGAACAAGACACAGAACTGTTCATTAAATAGTGAGCGGGCTTCAGGTTGTTATCAGTACAGGGTGGAGGGGACTGGGTGTGTTGCGTGCTTCTTGGTGGAGTATCAGGATGCTGCTCTGGCTGAGGGCTGGGTAGCACCCGGGCACCATCACTCATTTACCCAACAGGACTCCAGCTGATAAAGCATGCTGTCAACACAGATGCCCTGCAGGAGCAGGCACAGCTGCTAGCAGTGCTGGAGGGCAGTGGTGGCAGAAATCCCACTGCTACAAAGGACTGGATGACACTTGGTGGGTGGTATGGAAGATCTGTTTCTAGAAAGCACAACTGATGCATCTTTTATCAGGCAATTCCCAAGACAATGCCAGAAACACATGCCATTACCATCATCTAGTCTTTTCAATACATTTCCACCTCATAACCAGTGAAAGAATTTTTCAAATCAGGCAAAATCTCACCAAGGTTTCAGAGCAAAAGGAAAAAGAAATCATAGCCTTGTTGCATTCTAGACATCTCGGGGATTTTTCTGAGAACATAATTAACACAAAGAAATTTAAACAGTCTCCATAATGGACTCAACAGATCCCCATTAAGCGATACAGGCAGGCATCCAAATTACCCCACTGAAGCCAGCAAAATCAACTTTTCATCAAGTTTTGTTCTATAAAAAGTGTGAGATTAAATGTCCAAACATTGTGTGAACAGTTAAAAGCACAGTACAAGGAGAAGACAGGCAGATAACATCAAGGGATACCCGAGGATACTGGCTGGCTAACTACTGCTGGATTTTCCTAAACAAGACTAGGAGAGAACGAGAGGCAACTATGTTGAGTCAGATCTTTTTTTACAGACAGTTTTGTAGCACACGAACTAGGGCAGATAGATCACTGCAGCAAGTGAAAGGCAGCAAAAGTTGTATACACACTTTACTAAAATGTAACAGAGTAGCTACATCTAGTACTGTTTCCCTTCTGGGGTCCAGTTTTTACTACTATTGGTGTCTCTGACTAAATCAGGATGTAAATAGGAACTGTCACGCAGGTTTGTATCTTGAGAACGGATTACTTTTTTTTTCCCTTTGAAGACAGAAGTGTATAATGGCAATACAAGTGGAGCAGGGGGAACTCGTGTTCTACATTGGACCCACAAACTAGCAGGTGTTCCCTCAACCTGACTGACTTCATATCTGCTGAAGAGATGCTATTGTTCTATCACAACAGAGGACTCCAACACATGCCCTGCACAAAATTCATTCAAGACAAGCCCTGAGAGGGGACAGTTTCCAGGCAAGAGGCAAATGAATGTTCATACTCTCTCTCCCCCATTTCCTATTTTTACATATGCTAAGAATTGCAGCACAGAGTTCTAAGAACCTGTGTATAAAGATCAAATTGCTATGAAAATGTCTCAGAATTTGTAAAATAGTCTTGGTTGCTGCTGGCCTTTTTAATAATAAAAATAGGGTTTAAAGTCTGGTCTTGCAGCAAGCAGGAATTTCTAGGGTGACACAATAACCATTTTAGTTAATCTGACCTGCAGCACAAATCAAGAAGTAAGGTATGTTTTTAAAGTCCTCCCTTACAGTGAAATAGCATTTGCAGCATGGCTGTAATCACACAAAATGAAAGGTTTTAAAATTGACCTCTCTGTTCTTCATTCAATCCTCTACTGAGAAAAATATTTCTTTTCCTGTTCACAGAAATTCTATCTCATTTACGTCTCACACTCCACATCTCAGAAAACACGCAAAATCTATTTTACTACTACACCAATGAGATTTTTGCAGCATTTTAATATTAAAAATTACATTTCAAGTTGCATAAGACAAGTACATCAGCTATAAGTTGCCAAGACTTTTTTGTCTTGCAATATGGCAAGTTGGTTTTAAACCCTTTAAGTTACGAAGCACAAGATGTGTGGCTGTTAGTGCTATCAGAACTCAAATAATTCAAGTTATACAAATCTTGCAAGATCTTCAAAGAATGGTTTGGGTCGGAAGAGACCTCAAAAATCATAACCCAGTTCTAACCCCCTACATGGTCAAGGACACCTCCCACTAGACCAGGTTGCTCAGAGCCCCATACTGGACACAGTACTCTAGGTGGGGTCTCACAAGAGCCAAAGGGGGAAATCACATCCCTGGCTCTGCTGGCCATGGTTCTT